GGGTGCTACACAGACTTTTTTCCTTACGTTAAGATTTTTTCCTTTGTGGGATTCACAGGGCAGAACTATGTAGTTAATCACTGAAATTGCCAAGATATTTTACCCTGTTCTAAACTGTTAAGCAGCACATGGTGTGAATTCAAACAGGCCTGTTGGATCACTGATACAAACAAGATTTTTTTTTAAAATCAATATTAAGATATATATTTTATGTTTTCTAAGACATCTCACATCATGATGTCTTTTAAAGTGTCTTTGTTTGGACTATATAAGAATTTAAAACTTTCATGCATCCAGGGACACTATGAAGACAGTGAAAAGACAACCTATGGAATGGGAGAAAATATTTGCAAATCATATATCCTGTAAGAAGTTAATATCCAGAATATATAAAGAACTCTTATAACTCAACAACAACGACAAAACAACCTGATTAAAAAAATGGGCACAAGACTTGAATAGACATTTCTACAAAGAAGATATACAAATGACCAATAAGCACACCAAAAGATGCTGAGGAATACTAATCATTAGAGAAAAGCAAATTAAAACCACAATGAGATACCACTTCACATCCATTAAGATGGCTATTATAAAAACAAAAATGAGCAATCAATCAAACAAACAGTAAATAACAGTAAATAACAAGAATATGAAGAAACTGGAACCCTTGTGCATTGTCGGTGGGAATGTAAAATGGTAATGTGTAATGTAAAATGTGTAACGTAAAATGGTACAACCACTATAGGAAACAGTATGGAGGTTCCTCAAAAAGTTAGAAACAAAATTACCATATGATCCAGTAATTCCTTGTCTGGGGATATATCCAAAAGAATTAAAAGCAAGAACTCAAACAGATATTTATATACCTATGTTCATAGCAGCATTAGTCACAAGAGCCAAAAGGTAGAAGCAACACAAGAGCCCACTGACAAATAAATGGGTAAGCAAAATGTGGTACATACACACAGTGGAATGTTATTCAGTCTTGAAAGGAAGGAAATCCTGGCATATGCTATACCATGGATGAACTTTGAAAACATTATGCTAAGTGAAATAAGCCACTCGCAAAAGGACAATTACTATATTATTTCATTTATATGAGGTACCTAGAGTAGTCAAATTCATAGAGACAGAAAGTAGAATAATGATCGCCAGGAGCTAGAGGGAAGGAGGAATAAGGAGTGATTGTTTAATGCATACAGTTTCATTTTTGGAATATGAAAAATGTTCTGGAGATGAATGATGGTGATAGTTGCATAACAGTATGAATGTACTTAAAGCCACAGAATCGTACACTCCAAAACAGTTAAAATGGTAAATTTTATGTTATGTGTATTTTACCACAATTTATAAAAAGTAACTTCTGGTAGAAGTTACTTGCCTCTGACATGGCACAGCACATATGTGTGTCGTAACTTTTTCCTCTGAGAACAATGTTTTGGACAGAAAGCATGGTCTCTGGAATATATGCCTTTTCAGATAATAAATGTTTTCACTGTAATTAGTACAGAATGTCACAAGATGTCACTCTTTATCTGAGAAACTATTTCAATTTGGTTCAGTAGCTGATACCACTAAGTAATGCCAGAACAACAGACAAACACGGTTTTAGGGCTTTACTCATACAAACATGGTTTTTGAAGAAAGAGGTTTTCATCTCAAAGTGTATTAAGAAGTTACTCTTGTTTATGAAACTTATGTTAATATTTGTTAATTTCATAGATACTAATTGCTTTTTATTATATATCAAATAGGTGTAATTAAGACATAACTAACTTTGCAATTGATTGCAATGACTCAAAGCTGAAATGTAAAGGTCATTGATCATTGAAAGTCAGGTAGCTTTGTGGCTTTATTACTCAATGATGGCAAGTTATTTAATCTCTCTTATTTCACCAGAGAGGTAAAAGAATTCTTTTCTTAGGTTAATATATACTACAATATATTTAACATGTGCTAATTCATATTTAAGTACTTTTTTCTAATTTAAAATATTTTAGTTTCTATAGTAGTAATTAAATTATAACTGTTCAAATACAACATCAGTGTGAATTCAGTAATAGAAAATACTGTCCACAGGAAGACATTAGGAAATATAATGAGACTTTTTGACATCTTGGGGAAATATTTTAGGAAAATATTCCCATGTGTAAAACAATTATAGTCAGAATCATAAACTCTCAAAAAATTTAAAATTACATTTATTACTGAGAACCTTTGAAAAAGATGATAGAATATCTTCCAGTATATTTTAACTTTGCTTAAATATATAAACTCCAAGATTCAAGGACATGTTAGTCTTAAAGATTATACCATTTGAACTGGTAATATTACCTTGCAGTTACAATCCAAATAAGTTATTTTTTAAAAAACTTCTAATATTTGTAAGAAGTCTATAAGCGATTTATAATACTTAAAAATAATCAAATGCCTGAATGTTCATCTGTGAGTGAACTGTTGAACACTATGGTATATGAATGAACTAGACTATATTTTATTAGTAGTAACAGTTATTAGAATTAAGATTAAGTTATTGGGATAAGACTTTCGGAAATGATGGGTGAAAACATAGAATTCAGAATAACATGAAAAATAGTATAAATAGTGCCTGGTTTAGAATATTGACAGTTGTTTTGTTTCATTTTCTTTTGTTTAACTATTAGAACTTAGATCTTTCTGTTTACCTTTTATGTTCGGATGTAAAAGGAATGAAAAGAATGACTTGTTAAAATTCGCGTGATTATTTTAAACAATAGAAGCTAAATACAAGCTTTATACTTCGAGAGAGAGAGAGAGAGAAAGAGAGAGAGAGAGAGAGAGAGAGAGAGAGAGAGAGAGAGAGAGAGAGAGAGAGTGTGTGTGTGTGTGTGTGTGTGTCCCGGTGGTGGGAAACCTCCCAGTGTGAAAGAAGTCTGGGAGGGGCATAGTCGGGGAGGCCCCTTCAGTCCCACTGATACGTTCATTCACTGGGAGCTGGCTAACAGACTAACCTCTCCTCCACTCATTCTTTCTACCTTAATAGGGCTTCGCCACCTCTGCTGTAACTTGGTAAGTTCAAAGTGCAGAAGTGCGCGTTTCCAAGAAATGATCCGGAGTGATTTTGCTAATAGCATATTGGAAGGTGGGGAAGGGAGAAAGTGGAGGCAGTAATTGTCAGTCATTACTTTGCTTTTGTATTTGCACGGGGTTTCAAAACGATTTAAAAATGATTATTTAGACAGTAAGCAATTTTCTCCCGGGAGAACTTTATCAGAGGGGCCCATCGCAGACTGCTGCTGTCCACTGGACACCAGCGCCCAAAAAGTCTGGGAAAAGGAATTCGCAGGTGTAAGTGCTGGGGCCAAGGGCGGCGCACGGGTCAGTCAGTAGCAGTCTCTGCTTCTGTCTTCAGGTCCGAGGGATGCTGCTCTCCTGGCCCTACCACGGCTGAAGCACCCTGTGGGCCCGGAAGAGCCGACCTGAGCAAAGACACCGCGGGCCATGAGTCCCCAAAGGCTGCGAGCGTCGCTCTCGCTGCTGCTGCTGAGTGGCTGCCTCCTCGCGACCGCCCAGAGGGACAAGGGAGTGGGAGGCAGCGCGGCAGAGTCGGCCTGGGGTCACACGGGCGGCTCGTCGGGCCGCTTCGTCAGCCCCGAGCGCCACACATGCAGCTGGCAGCTCTTGCTGCCCGCCCCAGGGCAAGTGGTGGGCAGCGAGCTGGCGCTGCTGTGCCAGGGCCCAGACGGGGCGCGCCAGCACTGCGCCTACCGCGGGGAGCCAGAGCGCTGCGCCGCCTACGCCACCCGCGGCTCGCTCTACTGGAAGCAGGTGTTGGGCAGGCTGCGCAAGAAGCCGCGACCCTGCCAGGATCCCGCGCCGCTCAAAGCCCGGCTGTGCGCCGGCAAGAAGGGCCACCGCGCGGAGTTGCGCCTGGTGCCCCATGCGTTCCCACCTGCCGGCCCCACTGCAGCAGGCTACCTCCGGGATCTCAAACCTAGGGCCAGGAGCTGGGGGAGGCCCCAGGAGCCCGCGATCCGCCCCGCAGCAAGGGTCCCGCCTCTCCCGAGCTCACCGCCCAAAGGGAAGCCCTCTAAGAAGAAGACTAAAGGGGGCAAGAGGAAGGCAGCCTCGGCCGCAGTCGAGGAGCGACCCCTGGGGACCAGGCCAGATCCCGACGGGCTGGACGAAAACGCTAAGCTCACGGAGACCTACTGTGCTGAGAAGTGGCACTCTCTCTGCAACTTCTTTGTCAATTTCTGGAATGGCTGAGGCTGCCGGCCTGGGGAGGGACGTGGGGGGTGGGTATGAGGGGGTCTGAGCAGCGCCAGAGGGAAAGCGAAGGGCATCTTAGGCCTAGACATACCGGATAGAGAGTGGGGAGTCGTCCAGGTTCTGGAATGCGGGTGTGGGAGTGGAGTTTGAGATGAAAGTGTAAGGGGTATGGAGAACCTCTGAGACAGCAGAGAAGTTAAAAAAAAAATTAGAGTCTCGACTCTGATTAAGAGCAGGAGAAATAGTGGAAACAGAAGTAGGCATATGTTAAACATGTAAAAACCGTAGGCTGGGGAAGAGATGGGTACAGTGAGAGGCTAAAACAGTTAAGGGGGAGAAAGTGACTAGGGTGATGTGAATTTTGTGCAGGAAGCAGGATACGATGTTTAGCACATTAACATGTAATCACGAACAATTGATAGTTTGAGCCAAGCTGAGCTCTTTAGTGTCTTCTCACCTAATCAGCTGACAAGGTCACTAACTTCTTTTCTTTCTGAATTAGTATGAATATGGGTATTGCTTGGTGTTCTAGATGACCTCTACAGGAAAAGAAGCCATTTATTGGTCAAAATTGACTCCATATTTTCAGGATGGTTGTCCTTGAATTCTTTTAGCAGTCTACTTTTAAACAGTGATGCCTAATGTTCTGCAACTTTCCCATCAACCTTCTAAATTCAGAAGTTAATTGTAGAAGTCGATTGCTCCAGTAGGTTTTAAAAAACAATTCTTTTTATAGTTGATCATATTTTTAAAAATAGCTAAACTGTAAGTATGTACCTCAAAGTCATTTGGACTATTACGGAAGTTGTATTTCTTTTTCATGTAATTAATTGTCAACGTATTTCATTTCAAATAAGATGTAATGACAAACTTTGCAGATGTTAGGGGCTCAATAAAGTTGTATGGGTAGATTTAAAGAACTGGCGAGGCAATGGAAATTCTGACTGCATTTGATCTAGTTCCAAGTACACCTAGAAGTAAGTTCCTAAACATGTCTTGAATTGAGAAAAGATGAGAAAGAAGCCTGTATAAGAGTCACAAACTGGCAAAGCCTGGGTTCTCTCACAGTTCTGTTTAGCCTGCACATGGTTCTTTCGCTTTTCTTCTCTTCCTCCCTCTCTCTCAAGTTGGATTTGTTGCCAGCATTTAAAAATTAGATGACTTTACAGAAAGATTTAGATTTCTGAATTGTCTTGAAAAATCAGATCTAGCAAGCAGCATTGGACCCACTTTCTTGCATGGCAACAGTTGGCTGACACTGAATATTGCCTGCCCTGTTTAGATTTGCCATGTTTTCTAGAGTTCTCCACTGTTCCTATACATCTTACCAATCAACTTCATTCATATTACAGGCCTGAGCCAATGAGACATTTAAGCCACTGCCTGATATAAAATTTTTACCTTTTGGCTGAACTTCTGTTCTTCTCACCCCCTCCCCTTTAAAATTGTGGTAATTGCAACAATCTTACAGATACTGAATATCTCTTAACTTTTTTCTCTTGGACAATCCTCTAGGAAATGCAAACTATCTTTTACCAATTGTGTACATTCTTGTATTTATACAATTGGTAAAAACATTCCGATGGCACACAGCTTCAGGCCAGGTTTATGAGGTTACATTCTGAGTAACATTGACGATTAGATAAAATTCATTTTGGCTGAGGAAAGGAAGCTCAGAGTAACTGGAAACTACTCCTTAAAGATAGAAACCAATGCACACTTTCTCCAAAAAGGTTGGAAAAATTTGGGTGTCATCAGAAAAGGATATTGGAAATGAAAGAGCACTGTCTAGAACCATAGCTAGTATCATAGTTTTAACTCTCTAAACAAGATGACTGCCAATTCCTTCCTGTGAACCCTTTGTCAGTCTCATGAGCTTACCTCTATGGAAGAAGGAAAGGCCAAACTCTGTAGGCCCAAGAATACAGTGTAGCTTGCTACTTCTCTGCTCCTTTACTCTTTAAGAAGACCTAAACCATAACTCTGTCTCAAGAACAGAATACGAACTGAAAGGGGCCAATTGTTTATAGTGGAAGGGAAATTGATAGATCCTACCATCAGCTTCCAGAGTGACTTTGGTTAAATCCCAGTGTCTCTGATATGTATATTGAGGGGAGTTAGGCTTGGTTAAATCTGAGGTCCTCAAGGCACACTTCTAGCATTCTAAAATCCTATACATATTTTTGCATAGAGATGATAACATGTGAAAATTAAATACTATAAAAATTATAACATGTATAGTACTACATGTTATAACTCAAGAAAGTTCATGGAGTTAGAAAAGATTCAGAGAAAGACAACTGAAATGGCCAGAGAAATAGAGAAGGCTTCAGTATCCGGAAAATCTAGAAAGATTTGGAAGGCTAGGTTAGAAAGACAAACCTGCAGGTGGGAGAAGACAGGATCAAAATCTCTAAAATAATGAGGAGGATGGACATGGGAGACATGAGAATTTTCCCTTGCAGGTGCCATTAGGAGTGAAGGGAAAGTTACCAGGGCACATCCAGGTTAACCATCAGAGCTGGGATTGCAGGGGCATAAAAAGTAGCAAGTCATTCATAGCTCACTCTACGGGAGACAGAGAATTTATTAAAAGCATCGGACTATCTTATTTTGGTTGTACTTCCCAAGTTATTAAGCACAGAGCTGACAGGGAAAAGTGGAATTATACCCATGCATTTCACACTGTTTGCTTTTCTGAATTCATCTCAACGGGCAAAATCTTTCCAATCTTCAAAGGCTTTTAGTTTCTCTCTTTTTCATTTTGCCCTACACACCACCAAAATATTAATCCTTCTAAAACAGCGCTTTCATCCAATGACTCAGCTTACAATTTTAAATAAACAGAGGATCAGTAACAGTGCTGCGGGAAGCTATACTGGCAAAATTACAATCAGTAATAATAATCCCGTCTTTATTTAAAAGTTTGATTTTTTTGTTCATCATGGATTGTTTGGCATTAATTTTAATTTTAAAAAATATATTGCATTAAAACATTATTTATCTTGATTGCTGAGTTTGTTGGTATGCCCTTATAATTTGTACCCTAGGCAAGAGCTTCACTCCTCTCACTTGCCTCCTCTATTCCTGGCCCTAGGAGGCAGTCCTATGATGTGGACAAGCACTGGTTTTGGGGTTAGGTATGGCTTGTCTGAACACTACTTCTGCCTGCCACTAACTCTGGGTTACTTTGAGAAGGCTGCTTAATCTCTCCATGTTTCTCTCTTTCGCCTGTTAAATAAGAATAACGGCCAACTTCCAGGGTTACCATGAAAAATAAATTACATGACATATTGAAAATAATACTGCCCAGTACCACACAATATTTGGAATATAATAGGTACCCAAGTAATATCACCTCTCCTTCCCTTGCAGAATGGTAAATTTAAAAAAAAAGAGTAGTTTAATTAAACAATAAACACATAGTTTTTGATGCTGTGCCAAATGCCCTGGATCTCTTTGGTGCTAAGGAAGAGTGTGAGGATGGGGGAAACCTTGCATAATACCAGCCTTCAACAAGCTGGAATATAGGATTACACCATGAAACCATTAGAAAACAACAATGAGAACAATAGATGTTAGGTTTCTACATGTAAGAGATTAGCAAGATGAAAGGTGAGTATATGTCTGGTTATCTGGGAAGCCTATCTAGGAGATGTTAGCTTGAGGTTGCTATAACTCAAGAAACAGGTGTGGAGGAGAAAATAGATGATATAAACTTAAAATTCCTGGGCCAAGCCCCACTCTGTCTCTAAGTCTAATTCTGGGCAACTCACAAAATTTTTTGTGCCTCAAGATGGCATAAAGAAAAAATATTTACTATGCTGCTGAAGGCTCCAGGAAACAAGCACTCTCAGGTAACAGTGATGGGAACATAAATTGGTATGTTTCAGGATTAGAAACATACCTTTGGTTTCTTAATTATTTGTTTTGTGGTAAACTGCCAGTTATTTACCCGAATCTAATCTCTATTTCTTCTTGGGTGCATGCCACCCAGTCAGAGATATTTTCTAGCTTTTCTTGCAGATAGGTGTGATCAAATGACTAAATTTTCACCAGTGATGTGTGCAGCTTCAACTTTAATACTTTTTTTTTCTTTTAATTGCTGGCCTTGGACTTCCTCTCCTTTCCCCCTTTGAGAGATGAAACATAGATGTCCTAGTAAATTAACATTAATGATGTAGAAGAATACAATGCCCTAGAGGATGGCAGCACAACAGGATGGAAGGGAACTGGGCCCCTGAATAACCTCATGGAAAAATGCCTCACTGTTTTATGTGGGCCAAACTTTTTTACATGAGGGAAAAATAAAATGTACAGTCAATCTTCATTATTTGTGGATTCTGTTTCTGTGACTTCACTAAAATTTATTTGTCACTTTGAAATCAATACTCATGGCAACTTTTCAGTCATCTGTGGACACTTGCATACACAAAGTGGTGAAAAATTTGAGTTGTCCAACAAGCATGTTCCCAGCTGGGAGCTAACAAGGCAATGCTCCGTCTTCTTGTTTCAGCTCTTTAATGTAAACAAGCTTCTTTTTTGTTCTTACAAAACAAGTGCCATGTTTTGTAAGATTGTTGTGCTTTGTTGGTAATTTCTCAGTTTAAAATGGCTCTCAAATATAGTGCTGAAGTGCTGTCTAGTTAGTGTTCCTAAGTGCAGGAAGCCTGTGATGTGCCTTAAAGAGAAAATATATGTTAGATAAACTTTATTCAGGCATGAGTTATAATGCTGTTGGCCATGAGATCAATGTTAAGGAATCAGCAATATAGATTAAATGAGATCTCTTGAAACAGAAATACACATAAAACAAGGTTATGTGTGGACCAGTTGATGAGAATTCTGTGGCCAGAGGCTTGCAGAAACCCAATCCTGTATTCCCCTTAAGAGCAATGGTTCAATATTTGCTAATTCCATGTTCACATCAACTTTATAGAACATAACTACTGCAAATAATGAGAATTGATTGTATTTCTTATTTAAACCCTTGTAGT